ATATGGCACAGGAGTAGATCCAGGAACAATAATATATGTATATCTTGAAACTGAGACAGTGGCAACTCAAACTCATCAGGTTTCTCATTCCTTCTATGAGGAGATGAGTGTTGAGGATAAAATTCCCCATAATGTTAAGAACCTATTTATTGATTTGGCTGAGGGTATTGCAGGTAGTCTTAATAACTAATTGCTATGTGTGTGGAGGTACTAATATGGGAGACCAGTGGCCATGGGAGGCAAAGGAAATATGGTACCCTGGCTCTGAGACATATGAACAACAGATACCTTTCCAGTCTGATCATCAAGTAAGTACTAGAAGTAATCGGAATGGCGGTTAAAAACCTCCATTATAGGTCATGTCTGTATAGCCAGGAAAGGGACAATGTATAACACGTCTGTAGGTGAGCTAACATGCTTGGGACAAAAAGCCTATAATGTTAATACCAAAAATACTACTTGGTGGTCAGCTTCAAATGTCTCGGAACCTACTAATCCATTTGCCAATTACACTCATTTAAAGGAGGTATGGTTTGACTTATCTGCTACATCTAGTTGGGAAGCCCCAGCAAATTTACACTGGATTTGTGGTAAGAAAACTTATTCGGAGTTACCACAAGATTGGGAAGGGGCATGTGTATTAGGTATGCCAAAGCCATCCTTCTTCTTGTTGCCAATCGAGACAGGAGAGACCTTGGGAGTTAAGGTTTACGATGTAAATCATAAAAGGGAGAGAGCATCCTTGAATATAGGTAGCTGGGAAGATAATGAGTGGCCCCCTCAACGTATTATTAATTATTATGGACCTGCTACTTGGACAGAAGATGGCACTTATGGATATAGAACTCTGATATATATGCTCAACTGCATTATTAGACTACAGGCGGTGGTTGAGATTATTACTAATGAGACAGCTCAAGCGCTTAATCTTCTAGCTATGCAAAATACCAAGATGTGATCAGCCATATACCAGAATAGCTAGCCCTTGATTACTTACTAGCAGTAGAAGGAGGTGTATGCGGAAAGTTTAGTCTAAGTAACTGTTGTCTGCACGTAGATGATGAAGGGCAGGCAGTGGCTGAACTTACAAGCCACATGGTTAAATTTGTGCATGTAGCTACTCAGGTCTGGAATGGGTATAACCTAAGTAGTTGGTTTGGAAGTTGGTATGAGCAGCTTGGAGGAATTAAGACATTAGTAGGAGGAGTAGAATTTATTATATTTTTTTTGTGCCTCCTCCTGCCCTGTCTAATTCCATTAGTTGTAAGGTCCCTACGTAGTATTATAGAGAGTACTATAGAGAGAAAGAAAGCTGCCCATGTAATGGCTGTCTGGAAGATATGATCCCCTAGCCCGAAGAGAATATATTCAGGATGAAGAATGTTGAAGGAGTTTTTAAGATGCTTACAAGGTCTACTCTGGTTCAATGGCTACTTGAGAGATGTAGGTAAAACTGTGATTGGTGATGCATCTGGAATAATGTTATATCAGAGGCATCAAAGGGGGGAATGTGATGGGATTCCAGCATGGTCAAAATTTAGTAGGCCAAAATCTCCATGTGGCATATGTGTATGTTGTATCAGTTGGTTAACTACACGTAGCTAGGATACTGTCATCAGTGTACTGAGCATGTGCAGGAATGCTGGAACTGAAATTGCACTTATTTCCTTTGCCTTGGATGAGCCATGTGGTTTGACTAGATGTACAAGTCTATATTCTGCTTATTGATTGGTTAAAGGTATATGTGGGTGTAGCTATTAATGGGGGGAGTTATAGTGCTATATAAGGAATGTACACTATGTGTTGGTCTCTCAGAATGTTGGAACAGGAGTTCATCTGAGACCCGATCGGTAATGTGAATAAATGCCTCTTACTTCCTGAAGACTAGTGATGTACCGAACGGTTCGCCGGCGAACGGTTCCTGGCGAACATAGCATGTTCGCGTTCGCCACGGCGGGCGAACATATGCGCGGTTCGACCCGCCCCCTATTCGTCATCATTGAGTAAACTTTGACCCTGTACCTCACAGTCAGCAGACACATTCCGGCCAATTAGCAGCACACCCTCCCTAGCAGACCCTCCCACCTCCTGGAAGGCATCCATTTTAGATTCATTCTCAAGCTGTATGCTTAGTAAGAGGAGGGAAAGTGTAGCTGCTGTTCATAAGATAGGGAAAAGCATAGCTAGGTTAGG